GAGTAGGCGGTGGGGTAGTGGGCAGCGGGCTAGGCTGCTGGGGAGCGGTCTGAGTACCGGATGCGTGTGCGAACAAGTGCACGCCATCCTGCCGCTGGCTCTTAAGGTGGCGCTGCGCCTGCGTAAGCCACGTGCTAAAATCTATAGGTCGCCCTTCAGGGTCGAAACGAAGTACTCGGGAGGTCGCCATAGAGGGCGAGACTGAGAGAGCGCGGCTGCCAGCCGCGGGAGGGGGGAGACAATCAGTAACGTGTGGGCAGGCGGGGAGGCATGTAGGTGGGTAGGTGGGCGGCGCAGTGCGCTGGCTGGTGGGCGGCGCGGCGCGCTATGGGGTGTGCGGCACGGCGTACTGAGTGGCGGGCGGGCTGCGCAGCCGGTCGGCGGGCGGGCGACGCGGCGCGCGGGCCTACGGGCGGGGCGGCGGGTCGACGAGCGGGCTGCGCAGCTGGTCGACGGCGGGCGACGCGGCGCGCGGGCCTACGGGCGGCGCTGCGGGTCGACGAGCGGGCTGCGCAGCTGGTCGACGGCAGGCGACGCGGCGCGCGGCCCTACGGGCGGCGCTGCGGGTCGACGAGCGGGCTGCGCAGCTGGTCGACGGCGGGCGACGCGGCGCGCGGGCCTACGGGCGGCGCTGCGGGTCGACGAGCGGGCTGCGCAGCTGGTCGACGGCGGGCGACGCGGCGCGCGGGCCTACGGGCGGCGCTGCGGGTCGACGAGCGGGCTGCGCAGCTGGTCGACGGCGGGCGACGCGGCGCGCGGGCCTACGGGCGGCGCTGCGGGTCGACGAGCGGGCTGCGCAGCGAGGCGACGGGCGGGCCGACGGGCGGGCTAGGCGACGGGCGGGCCTGCGGGCGTTCTAGGCGACGGGCAGGCCTACGGGCGGGCTGCGCGGCGAGGCAACGGGCAGACCTACGGGCGGGCTAGGCGACGGGCGGGCCTGCGGGCGTTCTAGGCGACGGGCAGGCCTACGGGCGGGCTGCGCGAGCCTACGGGCGGGTGGCGCGGTGGCTAGGGTTTAGGCCGCGCTGCAGGTCGACCGGCGGCGTGGCGCGTTAGGGGGCAGCTGGCTGGCTGGCTGGCGGCTTAGGGCTTAGCGCACTAGCGCGCTGGCGTGTGTGGCGAGCTAGGGAAGGAACGAAACCCTAAACCTAGGGCCTAGGAGCGAGGAACCTAGCTGATACCATCTCAGAAAGTAGCTACAGCGGAATGAGTAGGATTGATTGGGTTGGGGTACATATGCCTAACCCTAACTGCTTGTACCCCATATAGCATGACCCACAACAGGGTAACATTTGACAAAATTCCATTTGACGCAAGTGCCCCCGATTGCCCTGTTTGATGCATCATTTTAGCAGATGTGGAAAATCCAGTTGGAAGGTGTAGCTCTTGGCTTACCTTACCACCGCGCCATCGATCCCCTCGGCTATTGACCATGTCACTGTGCCCATAATTCGGCATCACCGCATGTACAGCCGGCCCAGCAAGGTCCGAGTAAAAGTATTTGTGCCCCAGCTTTTCTGGGGCACAATGTCTCCTTCCCTTCCTCCTTGGCACAGGCCCCAGCCCTGCTCCTATAACGAGTACAGGTGCACTAACAGTCAACGAATCAGGCTTCCTAACGAGTGTAGCGAATGTGTTAATTCCAAACCGGGTACCATTGGGGTTACCATCTACAGGATCCAAAAGCACAACAGCCTGAAGATGCATTGGGGAAGGCACAATAAGCTGTCTCAATAAGGCAAAGCAAACAGCACCCCCCCGGCTGTGCCCGGCTATAGCGAATTTCGACCAGTCGGGAGAGGCGAGGAGTTTGAAGCGGTTGGACAGGGTGGTGGAGAGGTGAGAAAGCAGCCAGGATATGACCCTGGCAGATGCTCGGATCTCAGGGATTGCATTGGTGGTGGTGGCTATGGGATACATCTTAAAATGTCAAAATGTAGGAGGGGCAGGTGGGGAGCGGGACATATGGGGAGAAGGGGAGGGGAAGAGGGGAGAGAGAGGGTGGAGGAGAGGTGAGAGCACAGCCAGGAGATCAGCCTGGGCAGATGCTCATAAGTCAGGGATTGCGCTGCTGGCAGTAGTGATACGATACTCCTCCCTCTATTCAACGCACCTGGGGAGCGGCGGTGACGACGATGAAGCCGTGGGAAGCCGCGTGGAAGAGCAGGCAAGAGCAGAGAAGCTGTGCTGGAAGAGCAGCACCCACGTGCACCAACCCACCACCGCAATGAACCCATGCTTACCCATATGTGTACAGGTGTCCACCCTTCCCACCTGGGACGCCACGACGATGAAGCCATGGGAAGCGACGCGGGAGAGCAGGCGAGAGTATTAAATCGTTTGGGCGGAGAAGCCATGCTGTGCACCCACCAACCGCAATGAACCCATGCTTACCCATCAGTGTACACAAGCAGGCACGCACCTGGGGTGCCACAACGATGAAGCCATGGGAAGCCATGCGGGACAGCAGGCGAGAGTAGTAAATAGTTTGGGCGGAGAAGCCATGCTGTGCACCCACCCACCGCAATGAAGCCATGCTTACCCATTTGTACACAAGCAGGTGCGCACCTGGGGTGCCACGACGATGAAGCCATGGGAAGCGACGCGGGAGAGCAGGCGAGAGTAGAAGAGGGCTTGAGTGGAGAAGCCATGCTGTGCACCCACCCACCGCAATGAACCCATGCTTACCCATCAGTGTACACAAGCAGACGCGCACCTGGGGTGCCACGACGATGAAGCCATGGGAAGCGACGCGGGACAGTAGGCGAGAGTAGTAAATAGTTTGGGCGGAGAAGCCGTGTTGGAAGAGCAGCACTGGCAGGGCGGTGGCTGTGGCGGGCTTGGGTGACCAGATCCGAAGCGGCTTTGGGGGGTTGCTTTGGCGGGAGAACAGGGTGAGGAATGGGGAAAGAACAGGGTGTTGGGGGAAGGGGAGGGGAGGGGGAGGGGGAGGGGGAGGGGGAGGGGGAGGGGGAGGGGGAGGGGGAGGGGGAGGGGGAGGGGGGGGGAGGAGAGGGAGGGGAGGGGTTGGGAGGAAGCAAAGAGCATGGGAGAAGCTGTGTTGGAAGAGCAGCAGTGGTAGGGCGGTGGCTGTGGCGGGCTTGGGCGACCAGATACGGAGCGGCTTGGGGGATTGCTCTGGGGGGAGAACAGGGTGAGGAACGGGGAAAGACCAGGGTGTTGAGGGATGGGGAGGGGGGAGATGGGTTCGGGGGGAAGGCGTGTTGGAAGAGCAGCGCTGGCAGGGAGGTGGCTGTAGCGGGCTTGGACGACCAGATACGGAGAGGCCTGGGGGGATTGCTCTGATTGGGGAACAGGGTGAGGAATGGGAAAGAACCGGGGTTGGGGGATGGGGAGAGGGGAGATGGGTTAGGGGGGAAGGCGTGTAGGAAGAGCAGTACTGGCAGGGCGGTGGCTGTGGCGGGCTTGGGCGACCAGATGCGGAGTGGCTCGGGGGGGTTGCTCTGGGGGAAGAACAGGGTGAGGAATGGGGAAAGACCAGGGTGTTGGGAGGGCGGGGGAGGAGGGGGTTGGGGGGAAAGCAGAGATCGTGGGAGGGGAGGAGATGTGCTGGAAGTGTAGCACGGGCAGTTACATTGGAGTCATATTTGAGAATTCTAAGAAATGACTTCAACGTAGCATGGAGAGTGGGAGGGGAGGAGATGTGCCGGAAGAGCAGGACGGGCAAGGCGGAGGAGGGGGACGGCTTGGGCGAGCAGATCCGCAGAGGCTCGCTGATGAGGGAAAGTTGGGCAGCTTTTGCAGGAGAACAAGAGAGGGTGTGAGTCCGATTGAGAGTGAGGGTGAGTAAAAGTGAGAGTGAGATTGAGATTAAGGGTGAGGGTGACGTGCGGATTGGGTTCGAGAAGGGAACATAAGGAAAGAGACGAGGAGAGTTTTTTTTCTGCTATTTTTGTTTTCTCCTCAGAAACGAGGCCAGTAGCCTCAGGACCATTGTCATTGTCGCTGCTATCCGGGTTACTCATGGTGCGTAACGTGCGCCACGAGTTATTACTTCAAGCAGCATTTACCCTGAAAAGAACCCGACGACGCTGCGGCAGCCATTTCGCAGCCACCGCATAGGTTCCCTTGCTGAACACCTTGGCGGGAGTCTCGTCCGCACGACAAACGAGAAATGGGAGGAGTAAGAGGACGAGGAGGAGAGAGAATACGCGACGTGAAAGCAAGTTTTGCATTGCTGGTGAAATCTAGGCTCGCTCATGGCTTTGCTTCACGAGAATAAGGCTTGGAGCTGGGGAGGAAATGCCAGCTTTTCGAGGGGGGGTGAGGAGCGAGCGAACCAATTCCTGAAGGGTGGGAGGGAAGAACGAAATAAAGCTTCAAGAGACGTAAATATATGTGATTATTGGAGTGTTACAGAACAGTTTCGTATCTCACGCGCCGCACGACGCTTTGCTATATCACGGACAATTCATGCACCATCTAGACCAGAGACCATTCACTGAAAGGACAGCGGTGGCCTAGTGCCGGCGCTCCACGTCGAACGATTTACGGTTGCTGTACGAATGGCGAAGCACAACGTAACCACATGAACATTCTGCAGGCGACATCTTTCGTGATCAGCATTGGTTTCCGCAGTTTTCTATCGTAATTCGCCTGCGCCAGCACTTCGCCTCATACGCCTCCTCTTTCGTCTATCCCCCCCCGACCTGCTTGTTCCCTTCGAGCAATATTCATTTTCACAGCAGCCCTTTTATCGTGAACACCTACCATTCCGTACATTCTATGCTCGTCCCTACAGGTATTTCTGAGCGGGTTGGTTACGGAAATCGTAAACACTTTACATTCTATGCGACCTCCTGCATTGGCGCTGAGAAGATGAGACTTCCTTTACGGATATCGTAGCACACTGCAGAGGCGATTCGACAAGTGACTTCTGAATCAACCGAAGTGATCAGGCACGACCAGCCGCAACTTCCTGTCCCTCTGCTGATGCCATCAACTGTTGATTAATAGCTAGCTTTTCAGCCGGCGACTGTATGGCGACTTCGCGCTTTGCGTCGCTCACATCTTCTATCGCGAGAGATAGTAGCGAGGACATTCTAGTCCTCTCCCTGGTGGCGAGTCGCTCCAGTCCAACGAGTCGCCAATACCTCCTACATCTTCGCGCGCTTTCCCGCATCGCGGTCTTCGTAATAACTTCGCTTCTGGCCGTCTCTTTGGTTTCCATCACGTCCGACGCGTCGCCTGTCCCCGACGCGTCGCCTCTCCCCGACGCGTCGCCTTTCGCTGACGCGCATCATCCGCTGCCAACTGCCAACTCTCCCCCAGAAACATCTTCTTCTGAATCCATTCCCGTGACAAACCCACCGGAAACTAGCACGCCCGTCCCTGAACCTCTCTCCTCGCTCCGAAGTCAGTCTGTCCAGAACCTCGCATCGCCCTCCTCTGAGTTCCTGCCGACTGCTCCCAAACTGATCGGAACAGATAACGGAACGGCGGGTCTGCCGGCCTTGACGGCCAATGGAACGGACGACGGCATGGCGGTCGCGCTGTCGAAGCTGATAGGAGCGGACGGCACGCTGGGGAAGGTGTTCAACCTGGGGCCGTATAAGCCGGTGGAGCGATCGTCCATTGGCGGACCCATGTTTATTTTCAAGGTGTGCACCACACACCACCGCACACCATTGTTTGTTACCTCATGTCACCGCACGTCACCGCATGTCACCCAGGTAGCTGCATGGCACTGCGCTCCATCTGGGAAGGTGTTCAACTTTGGGCCGTATAAGCCGGTGGAGCGATCGTCCATTGGCGGACCCATGTTCATTTTCAAGGTGTGCACATTGTGTTGCCTCACACATTACCGCATGTCACCCAATGTTACCGCATGGCACCTCACGTCACGGCACACCACCTTGCACTCTCAGGGAAGGTGTTCAACTTGGGGCCGTAGAGGACGGCGGACCCATGTTCATTTTCAAGGTGTGCCAGAGGCATTATTCCACACACCACCGCAATTCATTGCATGCCACCGCAGGTCACTGCGTGGCATCGCACAGTACCAGGGGAGTTGTTTGGACTGGGGCCATACAAGGCAGTGGAGCGATCGTTGATTGGTGAAGCCACATTCTATTTTGAGATGGCACTGCACTCGCTCACTCCCTCACTCACTCACTCACTCACTCACTCACTCACTCTGCCTCATACCCTCCTCTCTTCCCTCCACGCATCCCTCCTCTCTTTCCTCCACGCGTCCCTCCTCTCTTCCCTCCACGCGTCCCTCCCCTCTTCCCTCCACACGTCCCTCCCCTCTCTCACCCCATCCAGGTGCTACCTCCGCGTCCTATCCTCCTATGGGCGCCTGCCACGTCATCAGCCAAGTCCTTCCCGGTGGTTGTGTTTCAGCACGGGTGGGCCACTCGCAACTACTGGTTCTCTGACATGCTCAAGAGAGTGGTGTCTCATGGCTACATTGTGGTGGCTCCTCAGGTAACACCTCCCTGATTGATAATACCTCCCTGGTAGATAACGCCTCCCTGGCAGAAAGCACCTCCTCCGTGCCACTCACAACTGCTGGTTTTCTGACATGCTCAAGGGGGTGGTGTTTCATGGCTACATTGAGGTGGCTCCTCAGGTACGATCGTTTGCCAGATAACACCTCCCTGGCAGGCAACTCTTCCCTCACAGATAGTACCTTCCCCCCCTTCCTTCCAGATGTACCCACTCATCGGCCTCACAGGAGCAGTCTACGAGATGAAAGAAGCCTGTTCAGTCATTCGCTGGCTCAAAGACAACCTCAGGGATTGGCTCGCCCGCCACCCGATCCTCCACTGCCAAACCAAGTTCCACCGTCGAACCAAAGCTAAACAATCCCTGTTTATTCTTTGCACTCTCCACACGCCTTTCAACCCTTTCACTCCTCCCTGTCCTTCTTCCCCTCCTCCCTAACCCTATTTTCCACGTACAGATGTACCCGCTCATCGGGCTCACAGGAGCCGTCTACGAGATGAAGGGATCCTGTGCCGTCACCCTCTGGTTGAATCAATCACCCTCCCTTCCCTCAAGCCCTCTAGCATGTGTCCAGCCAGCCCAATTGTTTCCTGGTCTTGCATGCCCACACCTCCCTCCAGATGTACCCACTCATCGGCCTCACAGGAGCCGTCTACGAGATGAAGGGTTCCTGTGCCGTCATTCGCTGGCTCAAAGACAACCTCAAGGATTGGCTCGCTCGCCACCCGATCCTCCACCGCCGAACCAAAGCCTCGCCCGATTGGTCCAAATTCGCCCTGACCGGCCACAGCCGCGGCGGGAAAGTCGCGTTCGGTGTGCTCCGGAAACTTTTCTGCAAATCGGTGGTGCCGATTAAAGCCCAGTTAATGGCGGGGGGAAGAAAAGTTCATGGAAATCAGGGGATTCGGTGCTTACATACGTCCCAAACTCTATACACGTCTCGGCTCCGGTGGCGGTGTTAGGCACGGGACTGGGAGGTTCATGCGCTCCTGAAGGGGACAACTATAAAGAGTTTTATTCCGATATGGCTGGCCCGGCATGGAAATTTATCGTGCCGGGTTACGGGCACGCCGATTTTTTCAACAACTGGCTCGGCCCGGGGATTACTTTTATTTCGAAGCATTTTTGTAAGAACGGGCCGGCGAGAAAGCCCATGCGGGTGGTGACTGCCGGGCTGATGGTGGCTTTCTTTCAGGCCAAGTTACTAGATGACTCGGCAGATTTGGATGATATAATGGCCAACCCAGGCCACTCCCCGGTTAAGATAGACCAGCCTGTAGCAAAACCATAATGTAACTAATACTGTTGCTTTTCATTCGTAGTGCAGAAATGCATTTTTTCATTTTATCACCCTGTAATAGTAAATCGAAGCCTTCAGTTGGGAATCTTGGACCAATGGTGCTGGGGGCGCATGAACCTAAAAAATGTCTATTTCACTGGCTGCTGCTTTCGGTGCGCGGAGTGAGAAACCTAGGGGCGGTGCAGGGACCGCCTTGAACCACAGGAATAATCTATGTGGGGGACTTGCCTTTTCCACTAGAAAGTTTCAACAGACTAGCAGCTAGCAACTTCTCTGTTCGCATTCCGGCTAAACCAGTCACCTATTCAGTAGATTTTCCTTCAGTGCCGGACTCCGTTCGAGCAATGTCAGTATGGTCTTGTCGCACTGTAACCATTGCCCTTCGCCTGAGATGCCTACGAATACGTCAGGCTGCAGTAATTTGCCTCTTAACCTTAATCTCTAGTGGCTCGACGATTCCTGCCGACGGACCGCTCAAACTCCTCCCAATCATTACCATCACTAGTAAATACCGTACAGTCTTTTGATTCTTACCGTTTTGCCAGTCCCGACCAGAAAAATCCCAACCGCAAGCTGATTGGTGAAGACCGCACCCCCGGCAAGGTCTTCTCGCGTGGGCCTTATCGCGTGCTGGAGCGTAGAATCGGTACAAAGCGTCCTTTCGGCAACTCCAAGGTACGGACGGATGTCTTGATGAATTTTGAGATGTCTCACAGATGTCTTCTCGTGTGGTCCTTATCGCGTGCTCGATCGTATAATCAGTACAAAGCGTCCTTTCGGCAACTCCAAGGTACGAATGTCTTGATGCTTTTTCTAGACGTGTCAATGGCCTTTCCGCATGGACCCTATCGCATGCTCGAGCGCAGGGTTCATGCGCAGGGTTAATGGGAGGGAGCGCAGGATCGGTACCTCTTCGTTCCTCCCATTAACACTCTCCTCTGAGCTTTCTACCCTCCCCATTCCAGTTCGCCCCTCCAAAGCCGCTACGCCTGTGGGTGCAAGTCTCCTCATCGCAGCTCTCCACGCCAGTGCTGCTCTTCCAACACGGTTTCGCCGCCAAAATGCACTTCTACCGTCTACCTTATCTCTCCTCCACTAACACTCTCCTCTGAGCGCCCGTCCCTTCCCCCTCTCCAGTTCGCCCCTCCAAAGCCTCTGCGCCTGTGGGTGCCAGTCTCCTTGTCGCAGCTCTCCACGCCAGTGCTGCTCTTCCAACACGGCTTCACTTCTCTTTACCTCTTCCTTCCTCCCACTAACTCTCTACGCTGTCCCCCTCTCCCCCTCTCCCTCCCCTCCCCTCCCCTCTCCAGTTCGCCCCTCCAAAGCTTCTGCGCCTGTGGGTGCCAGTCTCCTCATCGCAGCTCTCCGCGCCAGTGCTGGTCTTTCAACACGGCTTCGCTGCTAAAACACATTTTTACTCGCAGCTGCTCTCGCGCATAGCCTCGCATGGCTTCATTGTTGTGGCTCCTCAGGTGCGCTTTAGGATATTTTGATTAAAACTCGCATTCTCTTGCCCAGCTGTTCTCACTCACAATCACACTTGCTCTCAATCATTCTCTTGCCTCCCCAAATTCATTTGCTGTCGATTCTTTACCTGCATCTCTCCAGCCCAAGATAATTTCCCTTTTTTGAGGCACGTAAAATATCACCTCACTAGTCCTTTCCTGTCGCATGCTTGGCTTGTTTGTTTCTGAGGATTCTTAAAGATGATTAAATATCACCTCACTAGTCCTTTCCTGTCGCATGCTTGGCTTGTTTGTTTCTGAATTTTTTTTTTTAGATGCTTAAATTTCACCTCACTGGTCCTTTCCTGTCGCATGTTTGGCTTGTGCCCAGATGTACCCCTTTATAGGCAAATCCAATACAAGGCCGGAGATGAGAGGCAGTGTACACGTGATCACATGGGTAAGGGCTAACCTTGACACATGGCTGCAACAGAAGAAGCAAAAACAATCACTGTCTCAGCCGGAACAGCAACTGCAAGCAATCTCTTTCCCACCCTCTTCCTCCTCCTCTTCCTCCTCCTCTTCCTCCTCCTCAACCTCCTCCTCACACCCGTCTTCATCATCCCCCCCTCCTTCAATAAATCTTCCATCTTCCCCATCATCATCGCCCAATAACGCCATCCCCTCTGCCACCTACCCTTTCAGAAACACGGTCCCCGATTGGTCCAAATTCGTCCTATCAGGGCACAGCGTGGGTGCCAAGGTGGCGTTCGGTGTAACACGTAACATCGTAACCCCCTCCTCCCCTGTTCCCATCGCCGCCCTCCTCCTTTTCGACCCTTCGGACGGCACCTCAAATACCTCCAAAAACGTGCCGCCCGTTCTCGTGCACAGGCCCAGCTCCCTTGTCGTTTCTGCCCCAGTTCTGATCGTAGGCTCGGGCCTGGGTCCGATCCCAAAAGGTCCCGGGCTGCCCGCCTGCCCGCCCAAATATTTCGGGCACATAACATTTTTTTCCGACCTAGCGGGACCTGCCTATTATTTTGTAGTGCCCAAGTATGGGCACTTGGATTACTACGATAAAAACATAGGGATTTATGGGGCAATGAGTGAGGTGGCCTGCAAAAAAGGCCCGGCAAAACGGCCGATGCACGTAGCTGCATCTGGAATTGCGGTTGCTTTTCTAAAAGCCAAATTACAGGGAGACTCTGCAGATTTGGATGACGTATTGAGTAGTCCTATACACTCTCCTGTGAAATTGGCAACACCCCAGTCAAAGGGGGCCTGATGCATAGGCGGAAACCATAGTACTATATACCGTCATCGCCCGGATATAAGACAGTGTTGAATAGTAGACGGGTGGTCTATTATACAGGTGTCTCTTATTAACAGGCTAGCCTCATTATAAGCCACCTATTTGTATGTACGGGTTAAGAAAGTGTAGGGGTTAGGGGCAATTGTATAACGAGGGGGTATCTTCTAAACGGTTCTTTGTCCATTTATAAGACTTATGTGACACCCTAAACCGTCCCAAATATACGGTAAGTCAATCCAAGCATTTTTGCCCGTGTACGAGATAAGACATATATGTCTTATATCTGGGCGATGACGGTAGAAAGCACGAATAATGATTTTACTGTACAATGATCTAGCAAACTGTAGTACCAACCTTATCTACGCATAGACAAAGTATCACCAGCTAGGCCTTTCACAGCAGAAGCTGCAAAACCTGTGAAGCAACGGATGTCACAAACGGGCAGCGGCAGCAGTAACTGTAGGAGTTGCAGCTCCGGAGAGAGCGGCAGGTGTTCCTTCAGGTGCTCCCTCAGGTGTTCCTGCAGGTAATTCCTGCCCGCGCCCCACTTTCCACCCCACCTCTGACAGCACCACAGGAGAATGATCAGGGTGTTGCAACAGATCACAGAGATCGCTCACATCACTCCCCTTCCCTGAACCAATCACAGCAGCACACCCTCCTTCCCTGTTCCTTATAATAATCGAGCCACAACCAATGCCTCCTTCCGAGTCAACCCCGCACGCCTCTCCTCTGCCTACACTCCTCAGGTACACTCCCTCAAGCCTTTGCCTCTCCCGCTCCAGCTCCTGCTGCTCCTGCCCCTGCTTCTCCTCCTGCGGCTCCTGCCCGTGCTTCTCCTCCTGCTGCTCCTGCCCCTGCTTCTCCTCCTGCTGCTCCTCCTGCTTCTCCTCTTGCTCCGCCTCCTGTTTCTGCTCCATGCCTTGCCCTTTCTCACTCTCCACCACAGCAGCAGTTGCCACATCAGCCACGTCACCTGCAGCATCAGTCACTAATCTTTCCAGAGCCTGCCTCTTCTCCTCTAAGCTCCTTGCCGCCCCTCTCACACCGCCACCATCCCCTGTCTCCACCTCCATCCCACTCCTCTCACTTCTCACTCCCCTCACTCTCCCTCCCTTCTCACCATACCCACCACCCCCAACCACAGCTTTCAAAAACGCCACTGCAAGCCCTCCAGCCGCCACCCGCATCGGTTCCCTAGCAGGCCCATTGTTGCACACTTTGCTAAACAACGGTCCGTAAATCGGCCCCAAGTTGTCATCATAAAAGTCAGCGTGGCCGCATTCGGGCACCGAAAAATGGTACGCCGGCCCGACCAGGTCCGAGAAAAAAACTTTGTGCCCGAGATTCTCGGGCGCGCAAGGGTAACCTTTATCGGAAGGGGATTTACCGCCTCTGGGAATGGGACCCAGGCCAGAGCCTATAACGAGTACAGGAGGGTTGTTTACCAGAGAGATGGAGTCCGGTTGATGAGTAAGTGTGGGAGGATTGGTGGCTTTAAATGCGGTTCCGTCCACAGGATCGAAGAGTATTGCGGCTTTAATAGGCACTGGTAACTTTGCCTCTACGAGTCCATGCTGCTGCTTTGTAGACCTAAGTACCTCCCCCACCAGCTTTCTCAAAATTCCAAACGTCACCTTCCCTCCCCGGCTGTGGCCTGCTAGAACAAACCTCGACCAATCAGGCTGCGCCACTGCTGCCTCTTCTCCTGCCCGTTCATCTGCCCCGTCGCCTGTTCCTTTTTTAACTGCCCGTTCAGCTGCCCGCGCAGCAGCCAGGGCAGCAGGCTTGATTCGTGCATGGATTAGGGCGTGCAGATTGGTGTGTAACCAGTTGATGACTTTCACAGCATCCCGCATCTCTGGCAGTGTGTCGAATCCTGCTAATATGGAGTACATCTGGAGGGTGGGGTGGGTGGGAAGGTGGGGTTAGGGAAAGTGGGAGAAAGGGGAGAGGGAAAAAGGTGGAAAGAATGCAAGAGTTACCCTGGGGAACAGGCACTACCAGTACTGTACCAAGTTACCAACAGCAATAAGCGTTACTCTCATGTAACAAAGGTAATATTTGAGGAGCCACGACGATGTAGCCATAAGAGACTATTCTTGAGAGCAGGTGTTATCCAAACAGCAGGTGCTACCCGAGGAAGGTCTTACCTGAGGAGCCACCACGATGTAGCCATGAGAGGCGATTCTCGAGAGCAGGTCAGAGTAAAAGTAGTTCTGAGAAGCGAACCCGTGCTGAAACACCACCACTGGCACCTGCCAGGTGCTTTCGAGCTTCTCGTCAGGTGAATCGCCAGGAGCTGCTCCAGCTTCAGCATCAGAAGCAGAAACAGCTACAGCATCAGCTTGGGAAGAGTCAGATAACTCGTTGCTGGGGAGACCTAGGACCGGAAGCCAGACGCGGAAAGGCTTGGGTGGCGGCTCCTGATTGGACGGAATGGGAACGGAACGGGACGAGACTGGGATGAGACTTTGCCAGGAAGAACGAGAGGTTTGAGATACACAGCAAATGATTAAAACATGATCCGATCCGAACCTCGGATGCACGTTTGGAGCCATGCCCAAGAAAAAATAAACCTCCATACCTGGGCGAACGAGCAGTCGCCTCGAGGTCCCTCGTTCTCCTCCACCACTCGAAAAGGCCTGCGACTATTGAGGCGTAAAAAAAAAATCATACGCAAAAGTTATACATATTGTTTTTATACATACCTGAGCAAATGAGCAGTCCCTAGGTCGCACGCTGTCCTCCACCACTCGGAACGGCCCGCGACTGAAAGCCTTCCCTCGCGTGCCGTCCGCCGTCAGGTTGACGGAAAGCGTCGAGCTCTTTTGACGGACGAAGACGACGGCGCAGGTGACGACCCCCACGCCGAGCGCCGCCGCCCAGAACATGCCGAGCCGCGGCATGGACGGCATGATGGCGACAGATTCACTGAATCTGGTAACCGCCTACTGCACGACGGACGAAGCACCGTGATGGCGACAGAATCAACTGTGATTTGGCCGCAGGTTGGGCCGCAACTGTGATTTATATCGTAATGCGAACAAATGTACTCTGCTCGCATGAACGCGAGAAGAGGTGATGAGGAATGGGCTTCAAGTGGCGCACGCAAGGAGATGGCGTGGCTAGGGATGCGAAGAAAAGGCCTGAACCCAAGGCGGAAGCTCTTTGGGTGAAAATTGCTGCCGTGCGGAAAAGGTGTTCAAATTGTACTCGCCACAAAGCTCCTTGATTTGTGGTCTAAACCAAATGGAATTACATCAATAGAATGCTGTTCAATCCCGAGTCTCTACTGCTTTTATTCTTTCTTTCAGATGGTGCTCTTTCGGACGACCCACTATCAAGCCTGGCAATGGCTTGCTCTTTCCTCCCATTCGAGAAAATTGATGCAATCAGCAGCTGGCGACGGGTCAATTTGAGCCATTCGCATCGCCACGTCACCAGCAGGTCAACAAGCTGAGCCCCTTCCCAGCTGGGCGTCGCCGCAGCGCGTTTCGATGGCTCAACATCAAACCAGACCGCGCCTCGTTGCATGTCCAATGTGCGACTCGATTTGCGACTCGAGGGGGACTCGGACTGCGCCAGCTTGCTATTCAAATTTCGTCACTTCCCGCCTCGAGGGGGATTCGAGCGGAGCGGAACGAGGGGACGAACAAAGAGGGGGAAGCGAGTTGCGAGCGGACGAACAGCCAGGGAATGGGGGGAACGAGCAGCAGCAAGCGGCTAGAGACGAGTGGGGAAGTGTCGCTTGGGGCGAGACGCACGAAGCTGCTGCTGCTGCTGCTGCGGCTAGCGGCTAGCGGCGTCTCCCCGACCCAATTCGTTGTTTTCCGCGACGCTAGCACAGCGCGAGCTCACTCGACCTTCCCCTGCGTGACAACATGTGCCCCCTGCCCGTGAAAACGGAAACATTCCTGATGTTGCCCCCGATGTGCTTGCCCCCTTCACGTATTTAGGCCGCGCGCCTGATATGCTCCCACGCATGGATTTTGCGCCGGATTTCCGCGCAGCGAATCCGAATCCGCCGCCCGTAGCAGCAGGGGGAGGAGGAGCGGTCGCCATAGTGCTGCTGGGAAACGCACTTTCGAGATCCACGGGGCCGTCGGGCCGTGTGCATAGATATATTGGAGTCGCTTTTGGGAGTTCTCAAAAAAGGAAGCAGGGGAATGTGGCGAATGTAGCGAGTACGAGACTCCATATATGCTCACGCCCTCTCGCGCGTGCCCCATTCCTCTTTGCCTTAGCAGGCAAGCAGCTCGGGAAAGATTCGCTGACACTCGCTGATTCGCGGATTCGCTTGTTACCGTAACCAGCGACTCCCAGTCCCAGACTTTTTAGATCAGGAGCAGGCCAGTTACAAGCCGAGTGTGGTAACCACACGTTCGGTAGTGTCAGGTTGTGCTCGGTACCATTGATAGGTGAAAAGGTCGCCTGCTCAAACCCGAGGTACTAGCCATCATGCTGCCTGGAGCAGGGGGAGGGGGCGGAGGAGGGGGAGGAGCGGGGAAGGAAGGCAAGCGGAAGATGTTTGCAAAGAGCCCGCGCTCCTTCCACCACTGGGTCAGCCCGTTGCTGCGGTTTCTGCAGGTAATCTCTTTACCCTGGGGTCCTGGTAACCTTGATAGCTCTGTTTTGGGGCGCCGTAAGAGCATATTTCACAAAGAACATGTTTGTTTACCTCTTCCCAAACCTCCTCTATTAATCGTCCTCTCCCAACTATCATCTCAATCCCCTTCACCCAACCACCCGTCACCCTCCCCTTCCCCTTTTCCCCCCAGATTTTTGCAGCGGTGTGTGCGCTGGCTGTGATGCTGACAGCCAAGGTCGCCGGCATAAGCTACTCCTCCTTCCACGCCTTCCGCTACCTCATTGCTGCCAGCGTCATCGCCGGATTCTGGGCGCTGCTGCTGCTTCTCATCGACCTGGGGCTGCTGGCTGCTGGCAGGACTTCCCAGTCAGCTATTTTCAAGATACTGAGGATCATTGGGGACTTTGTAAGTGGTTTTTGTTGTCTGGTGGGTTTGCTTATAACGAGGATGCAGGGCTCTGCAGTTGCTGCTGCTGCTTCTCATCGTCCTTGGGGGCTCCTGGCAGCAGGCATGACGTCTCACTCGGCCCTATCCTGAGGATCATTGGCGACTGTGTAAGTTGATTGTTGTCTTCGAGAGGTGACTGCCGGCTTTTGGGCCCTGTTGCTGCTTTTGATCGACCTTGGGCTGCTGGGAGCAGGCATGATGGCTCACTCGGCCATATCCGAAATCCTAAGGATCGTTGGAGACTTTGTAAGTTGTACAAAGCACATGTGGGGGGTTCATAACAAGGATGTTTGGCGCTGCTGATGCTTCTGATCGACCTTAGCCTACTGACAGCAGGCATGACGTCTCACTCTGCCATATTCAAGATATCGAGGATCATTGGCGACTTTGTAAGTTAATTTGTTGTCTGGTGAGGATGGTGAGGATGCTTATATTGGGTATGCTGGCCATTGTGCCTCTTGCTGCTGATGCTGCTCATAGACTGTGAGCTTCTGTGCTGGCTGCTGTGGGCTATTCAGCCGACCAATAACCCGCTTCCCACTTTCTCTGTTTTGGAGGATGCTTATAGTGGGGATGCTGGCCTTTGTGCCTCCTGCTGCTGATGCTGCTCATAGACCGTGGGCTTCTGTGCTGGCTGCTGTGGGCTCTTCTGTCGACCGATAAACAGCGTCCCTCTTTCGCTGTTTTGTTTGTATCTTTCACTCTTGCTTTCTGTTTTTGTCGCCCCTCCTTGCTTCCCTCTGCATCTCAGATTGCAGCAGCACTACTGCTCTCAGCAGGTGCAGCAGCAGCAGGGGTAACTACCTTCAATGACCAGGGTGGTTTCCCCTACCAGCAAACCATTTGCGAGGGTAACACCCCCTGGAATTTCTTCTGTGGGAGGTCCAAGGCCGCAACTGCCATGGCACACATTGGTTTCTTCTTCTTCCTGCCATCAATCATCCTCGATATAGGATCACTCGCTGTAGAGTATTATGAGGCTATATGATGGATGGTACCGTAGATTAATGGCACACTGAGAGGAGCAATCTGTTGGGAAGCCTTTCTGGTTGTTGGAGACGTTTCCCATTGGCGGCTTCAAGCCTCTGGTACTGTTGGGGATCGGGAATTGGAAATGGGATGATTCTAGGTAGGTGCTTGGATATGCTACACGTTTCTTTCTAAGTACACTAGGATAAAAACCTACCCTACAAGGATGTGGTACTTTATCAGATCCCTGATCGTGGGTTGTCTCACCTAAAACCATACGGTAATTTTGCATGTTGGCATCTGCCCCTATCTCGAACGCTGCCTTTGCATGTCATACCGTAACGTAAATCTTTGTGTCTAAGTGACGAACAATAAATATTACATAACGAAGCGATTCGATAACAGGTAAGTACTGTATCAAAGTGATCCTGACCTGACCCAGCCCGCCCGCACCCTCTCAATCCAAACTGCACTGCCCTGCCTTCAATTCCATACCTCTCCTCCCTACTCCCCTCCTTGCTCACTCCACCCCGGCACCCTTCACCCCATCACTACCCATTGCAACCCCTTGCAATCCGGCCTCCCAGCTATTCCTTGGGGGTAATATAAAGCAGCGGCGACCCTGCCTCAACATCCCCCCTCTCGTCCCTGCTTGCCCTGTATTCGCATGTGTCTGAACCTCTATCCACCACTTACCCACGCTAGTGCTAATTATCCTTGGGAGTGATATACAGCAGCGATGACCCTGCCTCAACATTCCCCCTCTCCGTCCCTGCTTGCCCTGTATTCCCATGTGTCTGAACCTCTATCCACCACTTACCCACGCTAGTGCTAATTATCCTTGGGAGTGATATACAGCAGCGATGACCCTGCCTCAACATTCGCCCTCTCCGTCCCTGCTTGCCCTGTATTCCCATGTGTCTGAACCTCTATCCACCACTTACCCACGCTAGTGCTAATTATCCTTGGGAGTGATATACAGCAGCGTCGACCCTGCCTCAACATCCCCCCTCTCCACCCCTCCCGCCCCTCCTGCTCCCCTCCCTCCTCCCCCTCCTCCGCCCTCCCTCTCACGCCCCGACCGCCTTCCAAACGACCCCGAAAACAACTCCAGAGGCGCCCACGTCCCACCCCCACTCCCCTGCCTCCCACTCCCCCCCGAACCGCTCCCAACCCCTCCGCTTCCCATCGCATCCCCCGCAATCCCCGACCCACCACTCAGCGCCGCATACCCACCACCTCCAGTCTTCGGTGTCCCAGCCTTAGCACTCCCACCAGCTGAATCAGCTGAGTCAAGCGGGTCAAACAAGTCAACGGCGAGTTCAATGCTCCCCTCCATCGTCCTCACCACCTCGAGCATCGAAGGACGGCTGTTCGGATCCTCCTTCACGCAATCCCTCGCGATCGTCGCCAGCTCAATCAACTCCGATTGGTTGAAAAACCCGCCCAGCGCCGAGTCAACCATCAGCGGCATCATCTGGGTATCTTCGAGGAAAGGGGCCGCGAGACTCGTGATATGCACATCCTTCATGGCCTTCTGTCCCGTAATCAGCTCCAGCAGAACCACTCCGAACCCATAGATATCCAGTTTTCGCGCGTCGGTGCGGGTAACCACCGGCTGTAGAAGCTCAGTCTCTGTCTCGCTGCTTCCGTCGCTGCTGCCAACAGCTGTGAGGCTGCTGCTTGCAGCGGCGTCGTCTCGGCCTGCTGCTGCTGCTCCGCGCTGGCGGCGGTTGGGGCGGCGGCGGGGTGGTTCGTCAAAGGCAGCGTGGGAGGTGGAGCCACGAGCAAGTCCAAAGTCAGAGAGCTGGGAAGGAGGGAAAGAGGGGGATGGGGGACGGGAGAGGAGGGGAGGAAGGTTATGTAACAGACTAAAAAGCGCTGCCAACAGCAGTGAGGCT